TGAAACAGAACATGTGGTCAGAACCTAACTGGCTCGACTGCTCCCTGAAACCAGAGCAAAGCAAAACAAAACAAACTTCTCTCCAAGCTGAACCGAGGCCAGAGTCCCAACATACAGCACACACTCAGCAGACAATGGACCAGAAAAATGTGACTAATTTGCTGAGGAAAGGCAACCAACAGTTGTTAACCCTGAGAAAAGCCTGAGAGAAGAATTATCAAATCTTTAAAACAGCTTTTATAAGCACGTTCCATGGTAAAAATTAACACTCTTCAAATAAAAGACAAATTTTCAGCAAAGAAATACAAACCAGAATCTTGAATGGAATACAAGCATCTGAAATATTAAAGTTGCTGGCAGAATGTAAAGATAGGAAAGTCAGAAGTTGTCCAATGTTGAAGGAAAGGAAGGGAGTGACAGAGGGAGGGAGGGAAGGCAGCCGGGGGCATTACAGAGCAGCGTGCAGGCCCTGGGTTCAGTCCCCAGAAGCACAGAAACAAAACATCCTAGAGCTTTGGGGAATTGTTCAGAAATATGACAGGATCTACTAGTGGATTCTGATGGAGAGATTATGTATGAGAGTATTTAAAGATACAATGGCTGAAAATGCCCCAAAGTTGGTTAAAAAAAATTTTACAGGATCAATAGCCCAGCACACCCCAAACAGGATACATTCAGAGAAAACCAGGCTCAAATACATCATAACCAAACTGCTGCACAAATCTGAGAAAACAACCACTGCATGCTAACTGTGTATTTCTCATCAGAAACCATGGGAGCAAGAGGAAAGTGAAACAATCTTTAAAGAGATGAAAAAACAAAACTAAACCACCAGTCAACCCAGAATTCCATAGCCAAAGAAAATATTCATCCGGAGTAATAGTTCAGTAAAGACATTCTTAGATGTAAAATTTGTCATCAGCAGATCTAGTCTGAAGGAAAGGCAAAAGTAATTTTTTTTTTCAGGCTGAAAGGACACAAGGAACCTTAGTGATGAAGACAACAGGAGCGAGTGGCTGAGAACTGGGAGTTGCACTGATCTGAGGAGATGACAGAGGGTGTCTTCTGGCCTTGAGAATAGGGAGCCAGTGATGTTTATGTAGAATTTTCTTTATGATATGATGTGGCAAGTTTTAGCCAAAACACTGAAAACCCTAAGTATTATATTTAAGTTTTATGAATGTCTACGGTTCAGACCATGAGAGTGTTTCACATTTTAACATTTATAGTATTTTCTTAAAATATTTATCTAGGATGTATAAGAAAATGTAAGTAGAACTGATTTAAAACTCTGGTGTCAATTTTTGAAATATTTATTCATAAAGACACTCATTTCCATTGATTCTGAGTGACAATGCATAGAAATACTTTGTAGATTGTTAATAACATTAAATATTAGGCAACGGGTGATTATTTTGCAAAGGTGATGAAGGGCATACCTTCTTCCACAGAACGACCTTGAGGAATGGATACAGATCAAGAACCATTTTTTAAAATCATCACTAGAAAAGCTCGTAGATCAGAAAGAAAGTGCATTTTCAACTTTAAACCGAATGTATTAACAGATTCCTTCAATACCATCATTATTTGAAGCTCAAGTATTTCTTTGTTTCCAAGTGAGGCATGCTAAATGGCACAAATGGAAATTCTAGTACACATTTATGAATTTGTAGTTCATTAAAACAAACACAACTTGTCCAAGGGTTTTCCATGGTATGCGATAAAACCTGAATGTCTGCATTTCACACAAAGCCCATCCCGTGTGATCTCCACAACCGTTTGGCCTCCGTGGATCCTTCCAGCCTCATCTTCTACCATTTGTGCCTTTCTATTTTTCTAAATTTGGTAAATTTTCTTTACTCATGAATATCAACCCACTGCAAGCATCTCTCCTCACGACCCACACACTCCAGACGCTCCTGTATCTGCAGTCTCCTGCTTGTTCCCCTGTTTCCAATGTCCCTTTTCCTCCTACCCTGAATCACTCTGACACATCTCACAGTGAGCTCTGGTTTCACCTCCTCCAGGCAGCCTTTTCTCTCACTCGCGCCTGGGGGGTAGGTCCTGCTCCTCTGCACTCCCCTAGCACAGGACATGCGCCTATCAGAAGATCCGCAAGTCTGTGTGAAATAACCCACCTCTCTCACTAGCTGGAAGGTGCCTAGAGAGCAGGCACAGGGCCCTCCTGAGGTGGGCACTGCCAGGCCCAGCACTGGATCTGGAACCGGAGGGCAAGTTCTCAGTATTTATGAACCATCTTACACTTAACTGACCCGGCCCCTCAGGCTACCTGCAGCCCTACAGGAATGAAGGAAGAAGAAACCAAAAGAACGCTCACTGCTGTTGATGCTCTCCTCAACTAAAATATCCCAGTCTCACCTTTTTCCTTCATGAAGAGCCAGATAAACCCTAAGGGTAAGAAGTAATCTCCTGGCACAGTGGCCATCATGTTCCAGGGCGATGAGAGAAGAACACCGTGAGTTCCTTTCCTCCTAGGTATCTTGCTGAGGAAAACACAGAGCTCTCTAGCCTTGTTAGCAACAGGGAACTGGCTTAGAAGCATCTGGACACTTTAGACACCGGACACACCAACCAATCCTGCATCTTTACAAGGACTTTCCCTAAACAGCTCCCCAGCAAGAACAAGACACCGCAGTCACATTGTCCTGCACTGCAACGATTTAAACACCCTGTCCCTCTACATTAGTTAATTTGTCTGCCCACTATTATGAGGATCCATCACTCTATTTTATAACGTAAAGTAAGGGTCAAGATGATCCAAGTTACTTGCTTAGCTCTAGTCAAATCTCCCCTCCCCCACATTTTTAGCTCATACAGTATACCTGCTATTTCTCTTGTTAAATGGTAAAATCCAACATAGGAGATCTGCTCTTCGTAATTTAGCAAACACTTACTTGATTATTTAGGCAATACCAGGGACTGACGCCAGGGCCTTTCCACTGAGCTACATTTGCAGTCCTTTTTACTTTTGATTTTTGAGATAGGGTCTCACTAGGTAGACCAAGCTGCCCAGGCTGGGCTCGAACTTGCCACCCTCCCTTCTTAGCCTCCAGAGTGGTGTGAGTTTGTGCACGCACCACTGGACCCGACAACAGCGGACATTTATGAAGTAGGTGCTAGGTATCAGGCCCCGGATTACACGTCTGTGTCCATTTGGGAGATTTCCTCTCACTAGTGCCCCTTTTCACTGAGTGGAGGCCTGATTCTCCATTTAAAGATACTATAAATGACTTGAGACTGACTCCTCAGGCTGCAAATCATGGACACGCTGGTCCTATTATTTTTTACTTAGCATTGGTTTTGTTCTATGCTCATACTCGAGCTCTGGTTAGTTATACCCAGGCAACTTCATTTTAGTTTAGTTCCCACGGCTACAAGGGTTAGAGGAGCAATTTTTAACAGGTGTTGGGGGTCACAGATTTAAGGTTAATTCTGACATAAGGTGTATGACCTGGCAATTAAGTTTTCTAATTCTGATTGCTTTGTAGAACTTTGTGCAAATAAACAGAACATTATATATTTTTTAAAAGTCCACTCCAGAGATTAACAAATGCTATTACTTATTTCCTGTGAGGATGAATTCCTCCTAAATTTTATGCCACACAATTCTCAGAGTGACAGGGTGATAATAAAGTGATGAAAAAGCTAAAGCATAAAATTAAGCTAGGGGAAAAAAAGCAATGGGTAATCTGCTATACTGCTACTGCAATGCAGGTACATCTACATGCAGAAAACAAGATAACAATTTCCACATAAAATGTTCAGGGAAAGATGTCATGGTAAAAATTGGTACATGTCATGGTGTCTGTGTAGCTCCTTCTTGGGGGTAAATATACAGAATAAGGGCAAAGGGGTCTACTGCCAATCAGGATCCATAAAGTGGGGAGTGCTGAGCAGCGCCGAGGAGGATACACCATACGTGTACAATGAAGTGGGCACTGAGCCGGCACAACCTTGATTGGGGGAGCAAGTTACGTGATGGCTGCATCAGCCATGGCCTCGAGCCCGCAAGGCTGGAGCAGTGGGAGGGAGGAGAGACGCTGACTTCTCAAACCCTTCCTGTCCCACCCCTCTCTCCGCCAGGCTCCATACCCTGTGATTTCATTCCAACAGAACAGCAAGAGGGTTTGGGATACACACTGAAGGATAAATGCAAGAGTCACGTAAAGCCTCTCCTGGAATCAGGTTCCACTGAAAACCACTCCCATGCCGCATTCAGCCAGAAGTGAGCTGTAAGCGCCTTTCTGCCAAACGCATGCCTGAGATGTCTGGAGAGCTGTGAGCTCAGGGATGGCAGTTCCTCTGGGCTGTAGAGAAAGTGGAATGGCAGAAACTTTCTCCCCTGTAGACACAGCCCAGTTTAGATTTCTCTGGTATGTGGGAAGGCCATGACAGCACGGTCATTTTAAAAATATGTGACATTTAAATTTTCTGTAGCAGTACCAAATGCTAACGACTATACTCTGATCCTGTGCTTTCGGGCTCTTTGGAAAGAGAGATGGAGAATGGATAAAGGATAATATCGCTTTTTCTCAGAAGTGCTTGACAAATGGCCTCTTTTTCCCTCCTAAAGAAATCTTCTAGTTTTCTATTTGACCATATATTACTAAATGAAAATTACACAGCCTGTTGGCACTGGCTGGTCTGCTGCTGAGAACAGTGCTGAGATTCCCCATGCTGGACCAGCCAGGGTCCTGGGCTATGAAACTTACAAGGAATTAACTTAAAACCTATCTGCTTTACTTAACGTCACTTGTAAAGATAAAACATTTCAGTAGCTTACCTGTCCTGCCTATCTGCAGGCCGCCTGCAAGAAAACTAAAGTACACGCAAAAGCCCAAGTCTAATGATGGCGGTGATAAGGTCTGGGGATAAGGTCCCTTCCCCTCTTCCTCTTGCCCAAGGGGCCAGCAGCCTTGCTAATTTTCAGGACTTTATCTGGGGGAAGCAGAACAAGAGCACTCCCATTCATTCTTTACCTTTTTTTCATTGACATCCAGCGGCTCCTCTCCCTCGTTCGCCTCTTCCGGCATCTCTTTGATCCTGTTCAGGAGCTCAGCCTTGGCAGCAGACACACTGTGGTAGGCAGGGCAGTTGACCAGCAAGCCCGCCGCTGCTGTGTCTTCGCTCCTGGACCACAAGGGACGCAAAACATAGCCACACACAATTCTCTAATGATGCCTGCTCTTTCAGTGGTGCGTTTCTTTCTCAGAAATTAGGATGACTTAGTAAGTATTTACAAACAAAGCCAGGCAACACTGGGGTGGACAACACAAAGGCAATACTGGGGACAAAAGTGGGGATCGGGACTCTGGCAGATTGCTGCTCCTAAGCAGGTTAAATGATGCGCAGAAAAATGACTCCGACTCCTTTCCCTAAAACGCAACGTGGAGCCACGTCACCACAAAGTCCAGGTTTGGGGGTCATTTCCTACCCTCCCCTGGTTATCTTTTCTATGTCTACTATTGTTTGGTTCCTTAGAAATTTCCGTCTTAAATAAATCTAGTTCCTCACATTTAAATGTTCTTCCAGACTGCCGTTACCAGATTACGAACAGATTTCTACAGCTGTTGATTAAATCTCACAATGGCGATTTGCTGAAGTTCATCTCAACAGATCAGTTCTCATTTTCACCAGAAGATGGCGCATGCCACCCAGCTGAAATCCTTCCGCAGGCCCCAGGCCTCCTGCAAATGCTACCGGCCATTTCACTTATACAGCAAATGTTCTGGATGGTGATGCTTTTCTAAAGATGTATTTTAAATTGCTTGGGTCATCAGACAACAGAATGACCAGTGACCACAGGTGGCGAGCTGAGCGGCACACCCAGAACTCATCCCAGAGGCACGGTGGTTATCCCCTGGGAGACCTTGCACGATAGAGGTGCTCAGCAATGGTTGCTAAACACACGATCCTGCGTAACTCGCTTCACACCAAATAACAAGTGGTTATTTCCCAAATGTGGAAAAGACAAGGAAGGACAAGGGAACTGTAAGGTCTCGAATGAAGACAGCCTCTGGTAACCTGGCAGCTTGTTTATGAGTACTGTGTATCCCTCCCCCAGTAAAACACTATTCCTGCTAGTAATTTAGTTAGGGTCACCTACAACTTTCTAAAGTGCAAGCCCGAATTTGGATGAAATGCTGTTTTCATTTAGTCTGGAAACCATTAACTGCTGAGTCTCAGTCTGTCAACCCACACAGTTTTCACTGAAAATTAAAAAGAAAACATTTCATAGTAGCCCTAAAGGAATTCAAACATGCAAGAAAACCCAACGGCAACCTGGGAGAAGCTGAGAGGGTGACTGGGCAGCACACAGTACTTGCAGTTCTCTGGTGGTGAGGTGCCAGTGGACATCTTAGAGGACGGTCAACACATGGCTCGGGAGCTAGGAGCAGGGGTGGAGCAAAACCAGCGCTGTGCATCCCTTTCATGCTCTTAATTTTCAGATTCGAGCAAACACCAACGCGTGGTCATATCTACCACTCCCACTTCTTTCTCCACACTGGTGGGGGGTGGGGGTTGGGGCTTTCTGAGAGGGCAGCGCGGAGAGGGAACCAGCAGCCAGACGTGCACCGAGCTAGGGGCACTGTGTCACCACCAGGACACACACACGTTCCAGTGCCTTGGCTAGGCGTGGTGGTAATTCTTCTGTGCTTCACTTTCCTCATTTGTAAAACATAAGAACACCCTGGGTGCTACTCCAGAAGGTTCTTGTGATGATTAAGTGAAAATGTTTATATGAAGAAATCCATACAAGGCTTGATGCATACAACGTGAACAACAGATATGAATGATAATTATTACTATTGCTGTTATTTCTGTTGTGGGCATGTGTCAACCCCCTATCGCTCTTGGGTCAGAGATCCGTGGAAGCAGCGGACTGTCTGACTTACCACCCACAGAAGGAATTCCATTCTAAGTCCTCTGGGGGCATCACCGGGGCCTTACCTCTTGCCATCACAGCCTGGGTAGCTCCCAGTCCTCTGCAGGGCCTTCCTCTTCGTGCTGTCTTCCTTCAGTAAGTTAAGATCTCGGGGAAACAAACCTTCCATCAGGTCCATAGTTGTCTTCATTCTGGAGTCTGGATCCAAAATGTCTGCCAGAGATTTGTCTTGGTGCACAATTTCCTTGGCCAGAGCCTCTGTTCTGATATCTTCGGAGGTTTTCTGAGGATCAGAACTGACTTTCTTCTCCAAACTCTGAGTTCCACCAGGCAGCTCATGGATGAGGCTTTGGGTTTGACTGGGAAGGGGTGGCCCTGAACTCGGCTGCCTGCCAGGAGACCCTGCCAGTTGGGGCTGAACACTCCTGAAGAAAGGTGCGCTGGACTCGTTGGCCTCTGAACATTGGACAGAAGTCTGGGGTCTGGAAGGCGGTGCTGGACCGCCTAGCCAATGGGCTGCAGCAAGTGTGTGCCTTTCCTTTGCAATTGCCACCTTGGAAAACTGGCCAGAGCTGGTAGGGACACAAAACAAGAATGAAAAGGGAAGAGTCAGTAAAAGGGTAAAGGGAACAAGGCAAAAGGAGGGAAGAGATCAGTGTTTTCCATCATTCCTAAGGGTGCCCTCCCCACGCCTGTTCTCAAGGTCCTTGTAAGCCTGGTGGCTGCTCCCAGGGAGGCTGTCATCTCCTAAGGGAGACGGAATTACTAAGAATTCTGTTCTGATTAATGTCGCTAATATATTCCAGAGCTTTCTGAACTGGTCATTGTCTCGATGTTCAGAGGACACAGCTGAAGGTTACATGTGTACATGTGAAATCCCTTGTCCTAGAACCTATGTGCTGGGAAATGCTGCTTCTCCATTTTTTGGCTCCAAAGAGGTTTTCCCTAAGCACTGACCTTTAGCTCTACTCTTTGCTCCTTCTAATGGACATGGAGTGGCTCTGGCCAGCCCAACCTCTTCTGAGAGGTGCCTCAGGCTACCTTGTGTCTCGCACAATCTCCTACTGTGCAGGTAAACCTGTTTGAGGTTAGTACAGGCAGTACACTTGCCTTACACGCAACAGAGTGGATACTGAAAACTGTGGCTTTGATTAGTAATAAAAGTGCTATTTTTTTTCTTGCACTCTTCCTTTATCTTAACTGATTCAGAATTCAGCTAACGAAGAGGGATGTTATTTTCCTTTCTCTGGACCTCCCACACCCATGATGTGAAATACGCAGCTGGGGTTTACCTTTTGTCCTCACTGCCGTCCTCCCTGGTTCCTAGTGCACACCAGCAGAATTACCACCCAGGGAAAATGATTAAAACAGCTCTGGCTGCTTCATGAACTGAGTTTGTATTAAGAAAGTCTCCATCCCAGGGCTCCTCTGTGGCCAACAGAAGGACTAGGGAAGCCTGGACGTGAGAATCTCAAAGCCACTCACTCACCTGTGGCCCGACCCCTCAGGAGCCTCCATGGCCAGCAGCCCCTCACACTCAGCTTGGGAAGGAGGTGGAGGAAAATCATCTGAGCTGGTCATGGGGGCTTCCTGGCTCAGTGGAGGTGGGGGTGGAGGAAGAGCTTCAAACTCCGGGCTGGAAGGAGCCTTGGGGTGCGAGTCCTTCACAAACACATCATCCTCGTACTCCTCCTGAGGCACGGTGGACGCTTGCAGGCCTGACTCAGATATTCGCAGGGAGACCCTCCCTAGAGGGCCTGGTTCTAGAGTGCTGTGTGCACTAGGAAGGCTCAGATGCTTCCTACAGTGCTTTGGGTTTGTGGACTCCGGCAATGAGGCCTCCTCGGACAGGCCGTCTTCCTGAGCCTCGTGGGCCCACTTCGCCGGAGGAGGCGGCTGCTGCTGAGGCAGTGAGAGCCTCTTCCATGTTCTCTCTCCTCCCCCAGGCTCTGGGGTGCTGCTTGGGCTGGGCAGCTGGGCCCCTATATGGGTAAAGGTGGGCAGAGGCTGCTGCCCTGCCTGATTGTCCCTCCCAGCCTTCTGATCCGAGGTCAGCTTCGTGCAGCAGTTAGAGGGAATGGGAGAAGGCAGAGGAGAGCCAAGTGGGGTCGGAGGTGTGGCCCTGGCCTCTCCAAGGAGCAGTGTCCTGGGGCCCGGTGTTCTGCTGGCTTGCCCCTGACGGTCCGGGACCCCAGGACAGTCACTTGGAGCTGAGGAACCACAGGGTGGTCTGCCGCCTAAGCCACTCCAGTGAGGGGCAGGACGGTGGCTGAGCAATGGCATCTCTTCTTGGCCTCTTTCTAAACAACTGAGTGACCTGGAACAGGATAGAGATGGGTAATTACAGCTCTGAACAAAGGCAAACACTGAGCCCACAACTCATTTTACACATAAGAGAAGCACTTAAAGAGAAGCAGGATCCTATATTTCCATGGCAAATTCAAGTATCAGACAAGTATAGGTCTCAACAGGAAACCATCGTGTGGAGCCCTCCTCCCTCACCACCCCGCCAGGTGCTTTTGAAGGTAGGCTTTAGGACATAAAAAAGGACATAAAGTGGTTGATTTGTTCATCTCCTGGGTCTGGGGGACAATGATTCCTGCCTCACTGGTCCCTGCCTCCTCCTGTCCTGTCAGGATCCTAAGGGGAAGGTCTGCTTGCAAATGCTGTGGGCTGCTGAACTGGAGGGTTTCATTTACAACATTGAGTTTCCTTGTGTTTTCACTTCCTAAGATGAAAAATGAAAAGGAGAGGAGGTTCACCTAAAGGGCTAAGAAACAGTTGCTTCTGAAGATACTGACAATCAGAAGCAATACGCGTGGTGATTTAAACAACTGTACTTTAGGCACCAAGGAAAATCCAGCAATTCCTAGTACTTTTGTTACTATGTTCAAGAGGGGTAAAGGGCAAACAAGATAAAGAAAAGCATCTACGGTACTGCAATGCTAGAGTTAATGTGAGGATAAAAATGCCCAGCAAATCCTGTCATTTACAAATTCCGAATCTGTAGTTCGTCAACTGGTTTTGCCAGGGAATCTGGCACACAGATGGCACTTTTCATCTCCCAGCCCTGAGTCTCTAGAAGGAGCGGTGACTCAGTTCCACATTGGAACAACAGCGCAGGGCCTGCCACAAGCCATCCAAGTGCCAGGCGAGGATAGTGTGGCATACGGAAGGGAAAGACTGCGGAGAACCAAATTAGCTTTTCTGTCGTCTTGTTTCTTCTTTCTTATAGATGCAGATGGCTGAGTAAAAGGTCCACCTCTCTCTCAGATGCTACCCCTCCTTTCCCATCACAGACCCTTTCACTGAGTCGGTTTTTCATGCAGAAGCCCATCCACATCTAAGACCAGCTGTTCTGCACTTTTTGATGGGGGACACTGGGTACACGGAGGCAGGCGATCCCCCGAGGAGCTCTTTATTCCATGCCATTCATCCTGGCAGCCACAGTACCCAGCACGAGATACTAGGTCTGACGGTTTATATTTGGTGGGTGAAAGGTGTCTCTCATATGCGGGTTACTGGTGGCAAACCTATGGCCTGTGTGCTGGAGCAGGCTGTTAGCACTGAATGCTCTAAAAGGTTCCCCTGGTCTGGCTGCTCAAGAGGGTGGACATGAACTATTTTAAACTTTGTATACTGTAAGAAGACATGAGTCAACCCTGAAGCTTTCAGAAAAGGGGAAATAACACTCAAATATGTGACACTGCTTATCCTTTAATGATCCAGCCTAATAGACTTTGATGTTTCAAGTTTGTGTTTAATTCTAGTTTATAAGACCATACAAAAGTTGCATATGTTTGAGGGTAAGATTTGGAGTAAATGCTTAGATTTGGTTGAGAAAGCTTCTCCATGGTGACCATATTTTTTTAGGAATATTTAATTTATTTTTCGAGACAGGGTCTCACTACATAGTTCAGCAACAGATTTTAAAGTAAAAACAAAATCTTTAAGAAGCCCTTTTATTAAATAGGGTAAGAGGAGCTCAAAGAGGAGATCAAAGCTCAAAGCATCCAGGAATCCTAATATTTAAGAATGGATTTTAAGAGTAATTTTCTCTCCCCCACCTTCTTATTTTGGCTTTTTGTTTTTTGAGACAAGGTCCTACTTTGTAGTTCAGGCAGGCCTTGAACTCATTGTGTAGCCCAGCCTGGCTTTTAATGTGCAGTGATCCTCCTGCCTCAGCCTCCTGAGTTCTGGGATTACAGGTATGCGCCACCATACCAGGCAAGAGCAATTTTCTTCTGTATTTTTAACACATTTTTTTTATTGTTGTAAAGCCAAAATTTTATCTTTTGGATTTTTTTTGGTATCGGGGATTGAACTCGGGTCCTTGTGCTTGTGAGGCAGGTGGTAGAACCACTGAGCTAAATCCCCGGCCCTATCTTTGGGATTTTTAAGAATACAGTTCAACAGTGTTAGAAACATTTATGGACTGGGGTGTAGTTCAGTAATAGAGCGCTTCCTCAGCATGCACAGGCCTTTGGTTTAATCCTCAGTATTAAAAAAAGGTTCCCATGATCGTGACTCAGGGCTCCAGAACTTTCACATCTTACAAATCTGAAACTACCCCCTTTAAGTAGCTCCCCCATGCTCCTTCCCCACCCCTTGGTAGTCACCAGTCTCATATATTTCTGCGAATCAGAGTAGGTTGTCTCATATAAGTGGAAACACAGAATTTGTCTTTCTGTGCCTGACTTATTTTGCTCAGCATGACTTCCTCAAGGATCCATGCAATACTGTGTGACAGGATTTCCTTCCATATTCCACTGTCCATACGAGTCGTCGTTTATTCACACAGTCAGCCGCCAGTGGGCACTGGGTGGGTGGTAGGTACTACTGGCCTCTTGTGAACGGAGCTGCTACGAACATGGGTGTGCCCAGATCTCTGAGATCCTGCTTTCCATTTTTTTATTCTTTTAGATGTATACCAGGAGTGGCACTGTTGGGTCATTTTTTTCCCCTCCCCCTCCACACTGAGGCATATTGCCAACCCTTTTAAAATAATTTAAATTGCTATTTTGCGACAGGGAAGGACTCACTAAGTCACCCAAGTGGAGCTCAAACTTGCCATCCTTCTGCCTCAGCGTCCCAGAGTGCTAGGGTCACAGGCATGCACCATCACACCCAGCTGCACTGCTGGATCCCAGAGTATATACACCGTGTTTTATCATACATAAGTATGTTTTTTAATATTTGGGGAACCTCCGTGCTGCTTTCTGTTTCCATGAACGGTATGCAAGGGTTCCAGTTCCTCCACGCTCTTGCCAACACTTGTCACCTTCTGTTTTGCTGACATTAACCATCCTAAGGGTGTGAGGTGACATCTCATCGCTCTGATTTGCATTCCTATTGTGACTAGAAACATTCAGCAGCTTTTCACATGCCTGTTCACCATTTCTTTATAGTCTTTGGAGAAATGTCTATTCCAGTCCTTTGCTTATTTTTAAAATATGGCACTATTTGACTTTTTGTTTAATCCCTTCGCTTCAGATCAGTTCTCTTTTATTGTTGTTTGAGACAAGGTCTTGCTACGTAGTTCAGGCTGGCCTCAAACTCGAGGCAGTCATGCCCAGCTTCCTGAGTGCTGGATTAGAGGCATGCACCACCTTGCCCAGCAAGTTCTCTTTTAATAGTGCGTTAGTTCATTGTCAGTTTTCCCTGCTCCTGACTTTAGACACCCAAACCAATCGTAGCCCTCAGCTTCACCTTGGAAGGGTCAAGAGTACGAGCTGAGGGAAGGCTGCTCGTGACTGTAGCACTTAATACCCATTTCCTGACTGTGCGGGCTGCTTCTGTAACAGTACTGAGTTATGGAAAACATAAAAGTAGAAAGAAACTGAAAACTGACTGGTTAGGAAAAATGAAACTGGCCTGAAAGAACACGGAAAGTGGTAGAGAAAGTTTAGTAACACTGTCACTTGGGGAGAGACTGTAGCAGACAGCACTACGACACTGCACTGAAGGAACCTACAATGCACGCACTTCAGGGAGAACCCTCTGAACATTTCTCCGCACAAAGTTTCTCCATGTGGAGAGTACAGAAATTCACATTCTAGCCGGGGATCAAGCTCAGTGGCACTGCACCTGCCTCACAAGCACAAGGTCCTAAATTTGATCCCTGGAAAGGGAGGGGATTCAAATTCTAACATAAAAATATCAAAAATCATTCGTTATATTTTTTCCACCTAGGAGATATGACTATTTTTAAAGACTAAGAAAAAGGCTTTCTTACTACTTTCTTTGTGTCTAAACTGCATTGTTTTTTTCATGACTATGGATTGAACTCAGAGCTTTCACACGGAGCTATATCCCCAGCCCTTTTTAAAAATTATTTTGAGACAGATACTCACTAAGTTGCTAAGTTGCCTAGGCAGGGCTCGAACTTGCAATCTTTCTGCCTCAGCCTCCCAGAGTTCTGAGATTATAAGTGCCAAGATTCCCAGTATATCTTCTTATCTAAAAATTATGATTTTTGAGTTGACTTTCTGATTTACATGATACCTACGAGTTTGTCTTGCCACATGAAGCTGTTCAAGGAATGCCCCATATTTCCCTATCACTTTAGGCCCCAAGCTTGATCCTCTGCTCCCAGAATGGGAGAGATCAGCCACACAAGTGAGGGTTTACTGTGGGAGCCCCAGGGTATGCTTCATCAATGACCCTGATGACAAATTTGTTAAAAGTCAAGCATTTCCTCAATAGCATATGTTCAAAACCTATTTTTGAGCAAGTACCATTCTTAGAGGAATTTATTTATAAATAAAAATAAAAAATTCTCCATGGCCTAAACAAACTCAGAAGGTAGCACATTGTACTGTTTAACATGGCAACAATGCATTTCAACTTCGTACAGAAAGTAACAGAAGTAGTTTAACTCAGCAGCACTCGCAGAGGGAGGCATCTTCACTATACACACGTACCTGGATCCAGGGCCAGCCAAGTAACACGAGTCCCTCACAAGACCAAAGCCACTGTCTTCCCCCAGGAGCACACCCTGGAAACAAAAGAAAGGCACTGCATTAGTTCTAACAAACAGGTGTTTAAATTTACCAATGTAATAGAGACAGAAGGAGAAGGAACACTTGGGGCATCACAGTAGAACTCTTATACTTAGCCTTTTAGCCCTCAAAAGCTTCAGGGAGTATTGGTAACCGCACTGCCCCGATGAGGAGATGCGTCCAAGGGCCAAAGCAGCAGCCAGAGTTTGAACTTCAATCTGTTTCACCAAGGTCCTCCCTTAGCAAGGATGTTTCCTCAGAGGAAACTGATGTCAAGTATCTCAAAGCAACTGCAATACTTGACAGTTGACCGTGGTAATGAATGCGATGAACCAAGTCCTTGAATTACAATAGGGAATTGTGGGAGTGACAGGGCAGTTACTGAATTCTGCAAAATCTCAAATGTGCTGAATTAGAGAAGATAAGATAATTACAGAAAATAAGAATCTGGTTTGTAATCATGCTGTAAATTCTCTCTGGGAAAAGTCTCACATGTGATATCAGTAAGTGTGGGGACTTTTCAGGAGTAGCTTTTGTTTTTAATAAGGGTCTATGCTAGGGTCCTGAAAGGTAGACAGTGTAAACTGATAATCTAAAATCTGTCTCATGTGTTCTCATCCATGATGAAGATGATTAATATTGTCATTGACGGTAATACATTCAACTCTCAAGTTGTTTATAATAGGACATGTAGAAAACAAAATTAAATCCATGTGTAATATCTAAACTTTACTGTTTTATTTCATCATTTACTCTGTCCAAAGGGCCTACTGCTTTTCACCCTCTTACTCATTTTTGCCCTGAGTCAGTGGCGAAGGTATTAATGAGCAATGAAAAGAGTCAAAGGTGGTCATGGACGGAGAAGGGACAACTGGAAATTATTAATAACGGCAGCTGCCCATCCCTGGGTATTAACTGTGAGCTAAGTATACAAAAAGTATGTGCCCGGAATATTAAGACACTTGATGTTTCTTTGGTAATTTACTCTTTATGACAATGTAATTGCAACCCATAATTGCATCTAGCCTACAGTTAAATAAGATGGGATTCAAGCCAGAATCTCTTCAAAGCCCAAGATCTTTCCATGGAACTTCGACAGGTTAAATGGTAACTGGAATGGAGTCAACCAGACTTGAGTACTTCGAGAAAAATAAATTCCAAGTGTTCTGATTTGCTCAAGTGTCACTATAAGGAATGGAAATTCCTGGCTCAGAACTCAGAATTCCTGCCCCTCCTCACACTGTTCTTCTGTGATACGAATGTGCTCCTAATGCAGTAAGGTTTAAATATGTTTTCACATTCTATTACTCCTCTGCATTTCATCTTGAGAATGAAGCGGAACATCTGTGTTTGTGTGATCTAGCCCCTCGAATGTCAAGCTTAAGTTGATGTTTATGTATATACAAAATAAAAGAAGTGAAGCCCATTAGCAGGCTATTGAGAAAAAAATTTAAAATTTCTCATCAAAATATCATTTGGATGGAAGAAAAATGCCTCCTCAACCTAGCAGAAGCCCAAGGAAGGTAACTTCCTATCGGATTTTCTTGCTTTGATTTGGATATATATATTCAGTGTCAAAGACTGTGTCAATTTTCTCTAAACTGGTAAACATAAACAGTATTTTAGGGCAATATAAGATGAAGTAGTGGTTATGGGAGAAATACCTTATTGGTACAAGTTATACCCACTTGTTATGCATCCAATTTATTTTGGTTTCTCAAAACTGACTTAAAATTTCATAAATTTTTAGAATACTGGACTATAAACCCAATGTCTCAATTTTCACTCTTTTAGGGGCTCTAAGTTAAGAATACCTGAGGATTTAGCTCAGTGGTGCTTGCCTGGCAAGAGCAAGGTCCTGAGTTTGATTTCTGGTGCCCCAAAATAAAAAGGTAATAAGAATATTCTGTTACCTTTGTGATTGATGAAATATGAATATAACAAATTCATCTACTTTAGGGTTATTGGTTACAAAAATAAAAGGTAAAAATAATTAAAAGTCCATATTAAAAGTCTTGTTAAAATGAAATCAACTTATTGGCTGACATTTTCAGACAGAAGGTGTTTAATTCTTGCCTCTCTCTCCCCACCTTTCTTTTTATTCGAGGCACAAGCATGGCATGGAGCAGTGATGGCGAACCTTTTAGACCTTCCAATGACGCAAACAGCCTGTGGCAGCATGCGTGCCCTAGGCTCACCACCACTGGTACAGAAGCTTAAAAGACTGGAGTCAGGCAGTATGGGGTCAAAACATTATTCGCTATGAACCTGGTGAAATCCTGTGCCCTCTCTGGGCCTCAGCACCCTTTTCTGTAGCATGGAGGTAAAAATAGTATCTACCTCATTAGAGAGGCAAGAGGCCTAATTTTATATGTATAAGCCAGTACATAGGAAAAATTTGAACACTGTTAGCTTTTCATAAGTTCACATTTTGCAGAAAGTCGATTCTGTTAATTATACCTAAGCTCAAATGGATGCTTCCTCAGAGATGCCTTTTTTAGTAGCTGCATCCCTCAGAATCAAGCCTGAGTCCAATACTGTGGTGTCATGCCCTAAGCAAAGCCCTCAGCAGTTGAGTGATGCTTGTCACACCATCTTGAGCTGAAGGGGAAGGTCCCCAAGATACGGTGACAACCAGAGAAACCTCTAACTCAGCCTCTGGAAATAGTATCAGCAGGAGTCTTATTTCTCCAAAGAGTTTCTTTTAATAGTCTCTGCTATATTTTTTTTCCTTAAATTCTTTTATTGGTACATTTTAGGTGTACAATACATTTACATTTATCGTAGGGAACTTATACCCTTATGTGATGTATCCTGGTTCTTATTTCTTCCCCCATTCCCCTGCCGTCCCTTCACTCCCTCCACTCTTCCCGATTTACAAAGACTTTGTTTCCATCTTCTTTTCTCATGGTATATTTTAATCTATGCAAGGACGAGGCATAAATTTGTCTCTGAAGCAGAATAAGTTTGGATATTTTTCTGCAGCTTTGCAGGGCCCACCCACTTCAAAGGGTTTTCCAAGGTCTCACAAAAAGTAAGTGGAAACAGCCCAGAGTTTGAGCTGCACTTGAGTTCCTTTGCTACTATCTGTTCTGCAACTGCATCTTGCAAATGAAGGGAGATTAAAGGAGAGAGAACAGATGGCTGCAAGTGTCAAAGAAGATCCCACGCTGGCTAGGGAGAAGCCCCATGTGCCAAATATCTGCGCAGGTCTCAGGCATTATTTCAGGTCCAAGAGTGATCATTTGCCATACATAGAAGAAATGATTTCCATGATGACCTTTACACTTGGAGGAATTGTGAAAAGGAACTATGTCCTTGTTAATAGCTTATACAGGCAGAGTGCATGCTTAGTTTGCATAAATCCTCGGGTTCATCTCATAGTATGAAACCAAACCAGCCAACCAAACAGACAAAACCCACACTAATAAAATCCTGTTATATTAGAATAGATTGGCAAGAGCAAATAGCATGTTTGGTATGTCATCAACTAAGGCAGCACGAGATACAGACTCCATGCTTTTTTTCTGAGGCATGTCGTTTCTTCAAGGTCACTCAACCTTTAGGAGTTAGGATGAAACAAATTCTTTAAGAGAAATGTTAACAAGGGCTGGGGATTTGGCTCAGTGAGCACTGTGTCTGCCTTGCAAGCACAAGGTTCTGAGATCAATCCCTGGTACAAAAGAAAAACCAAACAAAAAAAAGAAACGTTCACAAAAGTGTAATACCAGAGTCCTTGGAATTTAAAAATTAAAAATATGAATATCTTGAAACAAGTGCCAAAACTGCTAAATGGTGAACTTAGTTTCATCTAAAATTAGTGTTTTGTTTTTTACTATCTAAACCACAAATAAGGGAGATGATACAGAGTACAAAGAACAAACTTGGTTATAGGCCATTTCTCTAGTCAGGCAGGGCTAGTTGCTGGATGGGAGAAGGAAGCTCAAGAATTTTTCAAAATGTACTGGCACTAAGTGGCACAAAAGAAGAATTTCACTTTGAAATATCTCCCTCTTGACCTCATTTGCCTAACACTACTATCTAAACATGGTATTCCCTTCAATAAACCTAAACATTGTTCTGTGTTCAATTGTCTTCTGAAAAGTTTTTCAAATAATATTTGTAATTGGAATTTGCATGCATCTCTTCACTACAACACATGTTTGAATGCTATTTCCCAAACTGACCAGGCTGGTGAATATTTAGAGAGAAAGGCAAGATAACACGCACAGCTGTCCAACCAATTCCCCAAGACAGAATAATGACATCTAAGTGGGGCAAGTCGGTTTTCCCCTGGGTCTTTCTGTAGAACACCAGGAAAGATTTTTTTAAAAAAAGTTTGGATTGCTATGCAATAAACTATTGAAGTCCATCAAACTAGCTAAAATTCCCTGCATATGAATTTTAGATCAATTTTAATAGTGCAATTAGCACAGTTTTTCATTATGAAGGGAGGAAAACGGCTATTGAAGATGATGGAATTGCCTCTACTGATTTTTTGTTGTAAGGGTTCATCCTGAGTAGAGTGTTCTGGACAATTCTGAGCAGAAAATATCCAGGAGGTACAGTATTTTCTCCTGGACGGTTGTGTGTGTTTGTGTGTGTGTTTCAGAAGTACTGAAGCAAACCTCGCAGCTAGTTAACTACTGATTCTCTCAAGTGGTTTCCTCCTCTTAATGCTTTTGCACCCCAATCTCTTCTCAGCATCCTGCCACCCTCTATAGCCTGGTTTAAATCCCATCCACCCCAAAAGTCCTTTTGGACCTCAGCTAGAATTACTCACTTTTCCTCCTGTAGCATATTCTTCGCCACCACTGCCACAGCATTCTCCATCCACATTAGAATTGCTTATACATAAATTCATCTCACTTGCTCAGTTGTGAACTCTAAGAAGCATGGGCCTTTCCTTGCTCTTTCCTTTAACCGTGCAACTCACACTTTAGACAACAGATGCTCTGCAAATGCTCGCAGAATGGTAGACTTCTCTGCAGTGGAAGTGAGGAGAACCAGAGAAGGGGCAACAGAGGGGCTCTTCCCCCTCAAGCTAACACACACATGAACCAACATCTTAGGTAGGAAGGGAACGGTGAGGCAGACCAATGAACTCCAGCAGAAGTGCGAAGCTGAGAATTACTTATGGAAAATAACAGATTCCTAACAATCAGAAGCTCAGGTTCTGGTCCTACCCTTGCTTGAAATTTCCAGAAGAAAGCACTTTATACTTGTTGCATAGTTTAAGACTTTAAGAAATCCTTTCATGTGAGATTTCCAAAGTCCAGTTTTCCTACCTCAGCAAGTAGGAGTCAGAGACATGGATTTGATACGGGCAATATAATATATCCCACCATACAGGCTGGCTGTGAAGATTAATTCAATGAGATAATAAATGTAAAGCATAATTAGCCAAGGGGCAGGTACACACTTAGGTGAGGGCTAGGAATGCAACGCCGATAATTATCAATTCCAGCTGTTTTGTAGATGCTAAAGGAACACAAATGGTGCAAAGTTAAAATCTTCAAAATACAAAGACACAGTCTCTATTCATGGCTATGGGTGTGCTTGTGCATGCATGTGCATGCACGGGTGTGTGTGTATGATCCCTTTTTCTAACATCACATTCTTGCATCCAGGGGTAGATGACTTCCTAAAATAAGGTAAATGTGCACACATAAACACAGACACACAAAAAGCTGTATATCTCTGTAACAACATACACATATGTAGACTAAGGCAAAAATCATGTCACGAAAACAGTTGGTCTTTCAGCATTTAAAGGAAGCCTGAACAAGGGGGTCTGTGTGTAGGGGTGGGGTGGGGTGGGTCAGTCCCATTAATGCAGCACCTTAGTTAGAGTTCTTGCCACTAGGGGTGGTCCTTCAACTTGCTGCCCTCCAACATATCTGAATAGGTTAACCTATTTAAATAGAAAGTTAAAATGGTGCAGAGAAAAAAATTAGTATTTCGATGTTCTCGAATCTTCATCATGTTAAAATGGAGTAAAGTATTGCAGTATAATTTTACTTTTGACCAATACTGCAGCCCAAACAACGTGCCTCCCCACCCCCACCACTGCATTAATGCCAAGGGCCAAAGGGGCCTACCTGGTGCCTCTTGTCTGCGGTGGGTGAGGACCTGGATCTCGCGTGGACAGGCACCGCCTGGGCTTCCAAGCGCTCCAGTAGGTCTTCGGCTGATGCAGACTTGGTTGCTGCAGCCCCCCGGGAAGGTGGCCCTCCGAGGGTGTGATCCCCATCTGGGGTGTTTCTTGGCCCACCGCGTGCTACAGCTGAAGAGAGCAGCTCCCCTGGGGCCCAGGGAGCCCGAAGGTCCTCTCTCAGAAAGCGCCCTGCAAAGGAGCTGCTGCGATCCGGATCCCGGGGCGCCCCCACGGGCGCCTCTGCTGGAAAGCTGCCTGCAGGAGGCCCCGGGCGCGCGCGGGTCTTGCGCCACACATAGTCAGCCAGGGCACTCTGCTGCAGCCGCTTCAGCTCTGGGCCCGAGGGGCCACG